TCTCTCTCTCTCTCTCTCTCTCTCTCTCTCTCTCTCTCTCTCTCTCTCTCTCTCTCTCTCTCTCTTGTGTTTAGATCAACGCCCCCTAACTCGTGTGCAACTTTTCTCCATCCGGGCGCAGCAGCTCCCGATGTAGGTGCGAGCTTCGCTGCCCGCACAACTTCCCAATTGTGCGCACCTCGTTTCCATCGCACAGCTCGCTCCTTCGGATGTGGTTTCTCATGGAGAGAGAGAGAGAGAGGGAGAGAGAGAGAGAGAAGTGTATGCAGCGCACTCAATCAATCAATCAATCACTAATCAATCAATCAGTAATCAATCAATCAATCAATCAATCAATCAATCAATTCACATACACACATACACACATATGTTTTTTTTTTTTTTTTTTCCAGAACTGCGTGCTCCCCCGGTGGCTTCTGACATGCGCAACCCGGTGGGGGGCGCGCGCTCATTTTTTCTCCCACCGTGTGCCACGTGGCGGCATTGAACGTGTTTGAACGCGCGCGTTTCAACGTGAACGCGCATCAAACGCGTTCAAACGGTTACACAGCAGGTTGGCGATGAGAGGTTTCTCATCCCAATCATCCTGACTTGGCTTGATATAGAGACGAAACAGGTGTTGCACTACCCGTTTCATTTGCTCAGCTTGACCATTTGACTCAGAGTGTTTCCCTGACATCATTTGCGGTTAGGTTCCCATTTTTGGGTCATGCTTTGCCACAATTCACTTGTGAATCTAACATCCCGATCACTAATTATGGACTTAGGAAAACCGAAGTTTCGCACCCACTTATACATAAACAGCTTGACTGCATGGTCAGTCTTAGCAGCATCTTGCATGGCAATCAATCTGCGTACTTACTAGATCTGTCCACAATGACGAATATGCGTCGTTTACCACTCTTGGTGGTCATGAGAGTATCCATGAAATCCATGGACACACTATGCCCAGGGCCAGCAGGGATAGGCAAAGACTTCATAAACCCAAGTGTTGCCTGCATTCGCGGTTTGTCACGTTGACAAACCTGGTATGTTTCTACATACTTCTTTGCATCATCTATCATCGTGGGCCACCAAGAACGTTGCACTAAATTCGTTGGCATTTTCTTGAAACCAAAATGACCCATTGCGTCAACACTCACCTAAAAATAAACTAAACAAAGACCCACTAGAGGGAACACACAAACGTTTATTCCTTGCCTTTTCAAAAAACAGCAAGTCGTTGACCAGCCAAACTCATCTGATCTGGCCTTATCCTTGGCCTCAAGTTTGCGCATGATCTCTGACATGATGAGGTCATCTCGATAGGTTTCCACCAAAGATCGAGATACATCGCCAGTATTACCAAACTGCGTTACTAGCACGCCCAGATAGTCTTACCTGCGTGATAGACCATCAGCCACCTTCTTGTACTCTCCCTACAGAGGATCAAGCTTGAAGTCATGCATATCTATGACTTCAATCTACCGCTTGAGTGCATCGGAGACCATGGGGTGTGTTTTAATCGAGCGCAAAGTCTCATGGACAGATCTCACATACAAAAATCTACCAAGGAGGTAATTCCTCCAATGAATCAGTGCTTTGTAAAGGGCATAGAGCTCTCGCTCATACGTGAACTTCTCTAGTTTCTGCGAAGGCATCTTTTTGCTCATGTACTCGATCGGTCTCAACTTTTTGCCCTCCTGCGCAAGGACTGCACCTATGCCATATTGGCTGGCATTTGTGGTCACAATGAAGGTTAACTCAGTATCCGGAAGCTTGATAACTTTGTAGTGCGTGAGGGCATACTTTAATTGTCTATGAAAGCAATATACTCGCAACCACCAACAATGCAATTGAAGCTCTTCCTCCTATTGTCGCTCAGCGCCCAGACTACGATCACACAGCTACTCTATCCTAAACTCCACAGTGACGATTCTGACGAAGCAACCAATTGACATCAGCAGCAACAATTGAAGTACATGCAGATGTTGACCATGTAGTACGTGCCCTCACATCATCATCCTCACCTCTCTCTCTCTCTCTCTCTCTCTCTCTCTCTCTCTCTCTCTCTCTCTCT